AATATATATATACATATATATATATATATATATATATATACAAATATATATATATATATATACATATATGGTAAAATTTTGAAAAAGAAAAACTATTTTAAAAATTCTTGTGTTTGTCCATTTCCCAGCCTCTCTCTCATTTAAGGATAAAAACAGTTTTAGCTTCCTAAAAATGGCTACTGTTTGTTGAGTACTTCAGTGATTAGCTTTTGTATTAACTTATACTGTAGTATGCAGTTACTCGTTTTGAAATTGGGTGCTAATACATCAAAGGATTACTCTTATAATTAATTCAATGGCATATCAATGAAAAGCCAAAGATGTCAAAGACTAATAGTATATAAATTTATTTTTATAATGCTTTAGGCAAACACAAAAACAAAAAACACCATTTGTGCTGTTTTAATATTTTATTATTTGATATAATTTTTGACACTTTTTTAAAGTCATTTTGTGAAAGCCTTGCATGCTAGATGAAAGCCTACTCAATAATTAAAAAAATTAACACAAAGTACATGATATATAGGAGTATTTTTAGCGTGAGGATGAGGTTTCCAGTAGGATTATTCTGATTGTGAATTGGGCAGTACACCAGGAAACAATCCCTACTCTTTCCCGAAGAGTATACTGCACTTGTTAATATGCACATGGGCCATAACGCATGCAAAATGTCTCATCTGAAAGATAATGTGCTATCGTAACTCGCATTTCAGCTCTTTAGCAGAAATACAAGCAGAGCAGAGATGGGAATTGATACGGGGACTAAGATATATCCACGCTTTAAGGCATACACAGTGGCTACCACCAGTTAAGTCGACTGAAGTCAGCTGCTCTCTTATTGGAGGGACAAACTTTCTTCTCTACCATCGTCTCTTGTTAGTCTCACTCTCAAGTTTCATATGACAAAAACTTTTGATCTGCCACAAATCAATGTGATGATATCACGTCTTTATATACCGTAGGCACATCACAGGCAATTGTTTAATTGTAATACAGAAAACTTGATATGGAAAACAACCACTGTGTTATTGTAACCATAATAATACCTCCATCTTGAAACCAAGTAGAAAAGTGCATTTTGTAACATTATTCATTAATATTAGGAACTTTTTTTAGGCCATTTTCTTAACTATTTTTTTTGAAAGCCCTAAAGATCAGCGTTGTCAATTAAAAAATTGATTACAAATGTAAAGTCAATGCAGGGATGAAATTTTACTCTTTCAATATCTCATCTTAAGCTTTTCACTCTACCAGAAATATGTGACAAACACCAGCCACATGGGTGTGATATGACATCATATTTCCCATATGGCCAAATCGCATTTCTCACAGAATATTTAATAGTGTGGACAGACCTTTAACCTGCCAATAGTGACACTGCACACACTTCTTCCAATAAGGAATCCACACTTTCATTATAATTGTCATTTTCATTGCCATAATTCTCTGTTTTCTTTGGTTTCCCAGGCAAAAATAACAGCTTCATCTTGACTCTTTTCTTTCTACTTGCACTATACCTGTTACACTGTAATTAACAATAATACTGTTTGCAGCCCTCTTATAATTTGATATGATTTCCATAGCCAGAGTGTGTCATCAATTTGAAGTATTTGAAAATCTATAAGAAGACAAAAAAGAAGGTTCATATACAGATTCATAATTGTATATTTAAAAGCAAAATGTTTTATAACAATATATGTGGCAAAGACAAGCCAGACTAGTCACTCGCAAATTTTGTTTCAGAGATAATACATGCTGGAATGTCAACATTTTAAAAATCTATTTTATTGCCCTAAACGAAACTTTAGTTAATCTATCCATCATGCTATGCTGTTATTTTCCCCATTTTTAATGTTAAAACAACACTGTTTAATGATTTAGAGAGAAATGCCCACAATCATAAAAAATCTATTTTTTTTGTTATGATTGACTGGTTTGACTTTTCTTTACCACATATTGTTAAGTATTTAATAAAAAATAATTATTTTAAATTGTAAAAAAATTCCCTCATTTATATCAAATTTTATTGATGAATTAAAATAAAATATTAAAATATTTATCATTAATTCAATTCTCTTAGCAAGCTTTTTTTGTCACATCACAAATGTTAAACCATATTTACTATGGTACGGACAGTCTCCCTCACCCATTCCCCTTTGATAGTCCTGTTTTATATCAACAATGTTCAAAAGTACTTACTTTGATTTCTTTGTCATCAGATCCAGTAAAGAGCAAACCATTGTTCAAAGCTAGAGCATTGACCCCACCTTCATGCCGGCTTAATGTTTGTAGCGGCAGAAAGTTTTCAAGATTCCAAATCTGAATGAATAGAAATTTTTAAACAAAAATGTTTAAGCCTGCTGTACAGAATGGCTTCAGCTTATCTGTACTGAAGGGATACAGGTATGTATGTTTTATTTCAAAAATTATAAAAACTACTTTAACTCAGTAGCTGGTTACTGTCCATCAAAGTAACAACTTATCAAATTATTAAGCCCTGTCCTGACTACCAACAACATGTGACATGCGTTAATATGGTTACGATGACATCACATCATGACCATATATGGGCAAATCATGACCATATATAGGCACATCATGACTATATATGGGCATACAACAGTTTTTTGTTTAAAACATTTGATAATGTGGACAGAGGTTTAGAGTGCATGTACACTTTTGGGCTGACTGTAGTTAGTATTTAAATGGGCTTTACAATATGCTGGTTCATAACATCACTTAATACCACAAAGAAGAACAAGATAGTTTGATCCTCAAAAAAAAAAAAAAACCTATTTAGCAGGGACAGTGGAATTCTCACACTCACCTTTATGTAGTCACAAAAGAGACAAAAGAGCTTAGCAGCTGTGTGCAATAAAAAATGTTTCCTGTTTTCAGAATTAAGTACAAACCACTTTGTTCTTCTTTGTGCGATGAGCAATTAAATGTAGTTTTGTTGAATGTGCAAAATGATGCTCAGTTGTATTTAATAAAAAAAAAAGATCATGTTCCTAAAAAAAAAAATAATACATTGGCATGTACTTCAGTTAACAAGCCTAAAAATATTTCAGCCCTGAACTACCTTTAGGATGGTTTAAAGTTGTCAGGGCATTTACATTCATCACATGCTGACACTGGGAAAGTTCAATTAGCAGATAGTAGCACACCGAAATGGAGAAATAGCAGCGGTAAAAGAACTTTTAGAACACAACTAGCAGCGGTAGTTGTAGCAGTAATATTAGTAATGGAAGTAGTAGCACCACTAGCAGCAGTACATTGGTGATATTAATGTGTACTGTCACAGGAGTAGCAGTAGTAATAGTAGTAGTGGTATTGCAATGGTTGCAAACAAAAACACAGCGGTGGTAGTGATATTAATTGTCAAGTGCTTTTCACACATATAAAGTGCAATTCACAAATAGCCAACATGCACTGCATGCAACCTCCTTCATTTCTCAGGAATATTCCCAGACACGTCAAGGTACATTGAGCACAGATGAAACATCCAATATTCTATCAGGTACTCAATTATAATCCTGGGTGGAGTTGGAGAAATGTGGATCAAGTCCCATGCCCATGAGTAGAAGTGGCATGCACAGCTAGTAAATTCCAACTGCCAAACTGAAGACTGAGAGCGTGAACACGACAAACTGCTCTGACTGTACATTATTGTACCGCAGGTATAAGCCCAACATAGGTATAAGTGTACCTCCTAACTTTTGAGTAAAATTTATGCAAAACGGTCCAAATGGGTATAAGTCTATTATAAGTTTATGACTTGGAATTTCTGCATGTTGAGAGTCTTATAGCATGCTTTTTTGTCTGTAAGGTGTGGGTTAAACCAATCCAGCCTAGCTACTGTAGACATCGAATACATTTCCTGGTTCTCAGAAATAATCGTACCAATTTTGCGTCCAAAAAGAGGTGGTTTTATACCAGAGGTACAATGGTAGTGGTATTAGTAGCAGTAGCAGTGGTTGCACTAATATTATTAGTAATGTTATTGAAATGCTGACTTTGCTAAATAACCTCTACAGTATGTACCTGAACTGTACAGTCAAATGAACCAGATAGCAGAAATTGGTTGGCCGGGGACAGGCTTAGGTCAGTGACAATGCCCACATGTCCCCGCAGTGACTTCACATGTTGGTGGGACACTAAGTCAAAAATGTGCATATTTCGGTTATAAGTACCTAGAAAATAAAACCAGCATAAAAATGAGCATGCTATTGCTAAAATTTTTTAGGATGTTCAACAAAGTCATAAAAAGTCATGCAATGAAGAAAACTGGTCAAAAATTCTTAAACAACACATGATTAATATAGAAAAAGACCCAAATCATGGAAAGTGAAATGATGATGTGTCCAATATTCTGCTGTTACCTTTACTACTGAATCGAAAGACGTTGACAATAGGAACTTATTGCGAGGGGAGAGGCACAGGTCAGTGATTGTGCCTATATGGGCAGTCAAGTCACTTAGGTGTTCATGTGTTATAACATCATATAACTGAATATTCTGATTGTAAGTACCTGTGAAATAGAGATTATTTGCTATTTAGTGAAAAATACACTAACCAATGGCCAATTCACCTGCACATCTTCGCATGTTGGGCACACATTATAGTGACTTTAACACCATAGCAGTGTGGGCGCCAGGATTTTCTGGACGGGGAACTGACATCCCTGAAGAGGGGTTGATATCCCGATAGCATATGTGGGTGGGGGCTGGGCCAGCCCAGAACCCCTCAAAGGTGGTCCTGGCGTGAACTTCTGGATACTCAAAAAATTTAGGGACTTGAAAGGCTTATTGCTTCAATCTCAAATTTAGTAAAAATTACCAAGATTTTTTTTCTTTGTGATGAATTATATTTTTCACCCCAAAGGTGAGAGCTTTTGACGCCTAGTAGCCGTGCCCACCCCTCCGCCAACTGGCCCCATCAGTGCACCACAGTTAAAAGTGGATACACAATTGTATAAAAAAGATTTTCTAAGGTATTTTTTTATATATTGGACAGTAAAAGATTGAATTGAATTGAATTACCTGAGATAACATGGGATCAGGAGCATTTCCGAACTTCTTGCACAATACTGTACAGTTAATAGCATCTGACTAATACTAGTTATTAATACTACAGTAATTATTGCAGAAATATTATACAGTAAACTAAAATGCCTGCCATATGATTACAAATCGATCAAAATGGCTGAAGAGTTAAAACTTAAATATGCAGCAGCAGAAACTAAAGAATGTTTAGGATCATGCATTTCTAAGTATATTATAAAAAGTAGTATAAAAAGTTTTGAATGCTTACAAATTTGATGAACTACATGGCTGCGTGTTAACACTCAAAACATTTCAAAGTGAGTGTGCGATAGTAATAGTCTTTTTCATTCAGCTATTCAGATATGATTGTACTCGTTAACTTTAGTATGAAGAAACATTCATTGCAGATGATAATACATGGGGTTTGCCATGCCAAAATGAGCATCAGTGACCAAGAAAATTGACTTTTGATTATAATCATATTCTACACATTATAAGATTTACAATGATTAATCTTTTACTGGAATCAACTTATCATTATCAAAGTTATTATAATAGTATTTCCTGTAAAGTATACAATACTGCCATATGTTCTTATTCTAATTACACAAGAATTTTAAATGACCTAATTCTTTAAAGTCTTTTGACTTAACAAAAATATAAAAACTTCAGAGGGAAATATACTATATCAAAGACCAGAAAATAGCAATGAGCTGCACTTACCAATAATGATGTAGAGATCCGTTAATGCCATTGAATAGACAGAGCCATAGCTATGTTCTAATTTCCTCTTTAAGGCAAAGTTTCCAGTGGAATCCCATATATGGATGGCATTATGAGACCCACTGTAAAGCATTTCCTAAAGTTATAAAAAAATATCATGGGATATTGAAGATCTAAATTCACAATTTTGAAATTGCACTATATGATGTTGTATATGACCTGCCAAAACTGATCTAGTTCTATTTAACAAAATATAAGACATATGTAAAGTAAAAAAAAGCAAGCAAGTTCGAAAACTGGGTGAAAACACCGTGATTTTAAAGTTATAATCTTCATAGAGCTTTTAAACAACTAGACTAGGTGACGAAGCAATGCAGAGTTGTGTATGTTTACTCAACAAGATTGTCACCATAGGAAAGTGCCACCTTCAGGCTAAGTATACACATTACCGTATAACCATAAATAAGCACCCTGAATACTTATTTCAATAATGATTATTATTAATAAATTATTAAGCTGGCGAAGTCAAAAAGAGGCCAAGTGGAGTATCTGATATTAAAAATTTAGTACTGAGGAATAACAATTGAAATCATATTCACTACAATGCAACACCACAAAACTCGAGTTTTATTTTTGTACTAAAAACTTGCGAGGTTGAATCGAGGGCGACCCGCTTAAAACGATGCTTTGGCGTATTTTGATTTACTGGATCTACGGCAGTCATCTTGTTGAGTGTACACACACAGCTCTGTGCAATTTGAACATCAAATGCGCTTAATCTAGCACTCTAGTATTCTTATTATATCCCTATGATAATCTTACATACTGCAAAATCTATAAAAAATCGAAAAGGTGCACAAACAGACAAAGGCGTGCTTGTTTAACACTGAATAACGCTAATTTATGAAGCCTATGAAGCTGTTGGTTAAATTTAAAAAAAAAAGTTTTGCTCTTTGTCATATTTTTAATTTAAATCTTTGGTTGATCATCTGGAGACCCACAGTAAACACGTTGCAGTGCCAGTACTGACATACTGTGTACATTTTCCCTTATTTCCACTAACCCCCATATTCGAATAGCCAAGCTCAGCTGGGTTTGAACCAGGTCGTCAGTGTAGGAAGCATGAATATTACTTCTTGGTCAAACCCTCAGTTCATTTGGATTGGATATTAGATTAATTTGGTGAAAAAACCAAGGATGAAAATCTCAAGACTTATTTCCAGGGAGGTTTATCTGCTGTTGAGATTCATAATCATTCTAGTGGTGATAGAATAATCTAGATGAAAATTATCCTGTTTGATTACAATTGAACCCATAACTTTTTGGTCTTGGAGAACCATCTGGCTACAACACTATAGGATGGTTGACAGAAGAAGTTAAACCAGTGGCAGACTTTTGTGGGGGAAGGGGGTCATTTGGCCAGGGTCCTTCCTAATTTTTTAAAAATGGATAAAGAAATAAAAATTATATTCAAATTTTAAGTCTGAGAGTGCTATTTCCAGCCATCTAGAGGTGCCATAATCATAAATTTTCTTTCTCACCCCTAACCATGGTGGGGCTGAGGTGGGAACCCTCCATCAGTGAAATTCTTCATTGGACACCTCTATTACAAATTACTGGATCTGCAAGTGTCAACTACTATTGAACATTCAATGAGAATCAAAGTACTTTTAACTAACCTTTGTACCATCTAATGTCAATGCTCTGACACGATGATGAAGACCAGACAGTGTTTCAACAGCCTCCAATGTTTCATGGCTCCAAACCTTTGTAATGAAAATGAAGTAGAATGAGTATTTGATCATCTCATTGATACTAAAAGACAGATTTGAATCATCTGCTCTGTACAATACTAAATTATTATTGTGTGCCTGTCTACTGTACTCTTTAACAGTCTGCTTTTGAGGAATTTTAACATAATATTTTGTCTACCCATTCCTACTCTATTCCTATAAAAATGTCTGTTTCTAGAAATAATCTTCCCTACCTATTTCCCAGAATACAACCTATTTTTGTAGAAAGTTAAATTGGCTTCTTCAGACTACCATCTGCTTCAGAGGGAAATATACTATATCAAAGACCAGAAAATAGCAATGAGCTGCACTTACCAATAATGATGTAGAGATCCGTTAATGCCATTGAATAGACAGAGCCATAGCTATGTTCTAATTTCCTCTTTAAGGCAAAGTTTCCAGTGGAATCCCATATATGGATGGCATTATGAGACCCACTGTAAAGCATTTCCTAAAGTTATAAAAAAATATCATGGGATATTGAAGATCTAAATTCACAATTTTGAAATTGCACTATATGATGTTGTATATGACCTGCCAAAACTGATCTAGTTCTATTTAACAAAATATAAGACATATGTAAAGTAAAAAAAAAGCAAGCAAGTTCGAAAACTGGGTGAAAACACCGTGATTTTAAAGTTATAATCTTCATAGAGCTTTTAAACAACTAGACTAGGTGACGAAGCAATGCAGAGTTGTGTATGTTTACTCAACAAGATTGTCACCATAGGAAAGTGCCACCTTCAGGCTAAGTATACACATTACCGTATAACCATAAATAAGCACCCTGAATACTTATTTCAATAATCATTATTATTAATAAATTATTAAGCTGGCGAAGTCAAAAAGAGGCCAAGTGGAGTATCTGATATTAAAAATTTAGCACTGAGGAATGACAATTGAAATCATATTCACTACAATGCAACACCACAAAACTCGAGTTTTATTTTTGTACTAAAAACTTGCAAGGTTGAATCTAGGGCGACCCGCTCAAAACGATGCTTTGGCGTATTTTGATTTACTGGATCTACGGCAGTCATCTTGTTGAGTGTACACACACAGCTCTGTGTAATTTGAACATCAAATGCGCTTAATCTAGCACTCTAGTATTCTTATTATATCCCTATGATAATCTTACATACTGTAAAATCTATAAAAAATCGAAAAGGTGCGCAAACAGACAAAAGCGTGCTTGTTTAACACTGAATAACGCTAATTTATGAAGCCTATGAAGCTGTTGGTTAAATGTTTTTAAAAAGTTTTGCTCTTTGTCATATTTTTAATTTAAATCTTTGGTTGATCATCTGGAGACTCACAGTAAACACATTGCAGTGCCAGAACTGACATACTGTGTACATTTTCCCTTATTTCCACTAACCCCCCATATTCGAATAGCCAAGCTCAGCTGGGTTTGAACCAGGTTGTCAGTGTAGGAAGCATGAATATTACTTCTTGGTCAAACCCTCAGTTCATTTGGATTGGATATTAGATTAATTTGGTGAAAAAACCAATGACGAAAATCTTAAGACTTATTTCCAGGGAGGTTTATCTGCTGTTGAGATTCATAATCATTCTAGTGGTGATAGAATAATCTAGATGAAACTTATCCTGTTTGATTACAATTGAACCCATAACTTTTTGGTCTTGGAGAACCATCTGGCTACAACACTATAGGATGGTTGACAGAAGAAGTTAAACCAGTGGCAGACTTTTGTGGGGGAAGGGGGTCATTTGGCCAGGGCCCTTCCTAATTTTTTAAAAATGGATAAAGAAATAAAAATTATATTCAAATTTTAAGTCTGAGAGTGCTATTTTCGGCCATCTAGAGGTGCCATAATCATAAATTTTCTTTCTCACCCCTAACCATGGTGGGGCCGAGGTGGGAACCCTCCATCAGTGAAATTCCTCATTGGACACCTCCATTACAAATTACTGGATCTGCAAGTGTCAACTACTATTGAACATTCAATGAGAAAGTACTTTTAACTAACCTTTGTACCATCTAATGTCAATGCTCTGACACGATGATGAAGACCAGACAGTGTTTCAACAGCCTCCAATGTTTCATGGCTCCAAACCTTTGTAATGAAAATGAAGTAGAATGAGTATTTGATCATCTCATTGATACTAAAAGACAAATTTGAATCATCTGCTCTGTACAATACTAAATTATTATTGTGTGCCTGTCTACTGTACTCTTTAACAGTCTGCTTTTAAGGAATTTTAACATAATATTTTGTCTACCCATTCCTACTCTATTCCTATAAAAATGTCTGTTTCTGGAAATAATCTTCCCTACCTATTTCCCAGAATACGACCTATTTTTGTAGAATGTTAAATTGGCTTCTTCAGACTACCATCTGCTGCTGTAGTATGCTACATTATTTCCCTTACCCACGGGCATAGGCTCATTTCAGCCTAAGGGGGGGGGGCGGGCTGCGAAAAATGAGAATGTGGAACTCTCGGAATGTGAACTAACTCCCTATTCCAATGAAACCGTATAATATTTCAATCAGACACCTTTTTCTCCACCAACATTCAATAATCTGATTCATTATTACAAAAACCACTGGAAATTGAACTGAAAAAAAAAGCTAAGGAGAAAATAATACAGTAACTTCAGTAGCCAGTTTTAATTTCCTTACTACTAAGGACTGAATGATTTATGAATGAATAGAATTTATAATATTGTAGAAAATATAGCATACCTTAATTTCTGCATAGGAAGAAGAGAACACGTATTTGGCTGTTATGGCTAAAGCTGTAATTTCTTCTGGATGGGCCTCCTAAATATATAACCAATATTATTATTATAAATTTAGGGATTCATACAATACTTGAATTAAATAAAGGTTGAAAACAAAAGTGGGTATATCAGGTTATTCAAAACCACATTATAGTAACTGTCATATAATTATCATCTAAACACCTGTATCAAGGATAATTAAAGATGGTAATGATATTATCATCATACTCTAAATTTTATATGGTTCTTTTTATACATGATGTACAGCAGGGGTGTGGGCATAAAAATGAGTGAGAGGAACAAACTGACACTGATGGCTGCAAGCAAACTTATGGTAAAAATTTCATGTTTGCAATATGCTTGCAAAAACCTCCATATACTGCTTATATACCGCTTTATAATAAGTTTTAATGCTATATTTTAGAGATTTTTGGCATCCGGCATTAACAACAAGGTGTTTTTTTCCAGGGAAGGCAGGAAGGCTGTACATAGAGGGGATTTTAAGTTATTTTTGCAGGCTGCAATAAATTTGATGTTTGGCTGCACTTTGTCCACCTGTAATATACAGTAGGCCTATTGTATAATACAATTTAAAAAATGTATGTTTTCAGTAGTTGACATGTTGTAGTACAAATAAAGGCTACTTTCCAATATTCATTTTACTAAATATAAATGGATGTAATGTAAGAGTTCATTTAAAAGACGACTTATTCAAAGCAGAAAAAAATAACTCAAACCTTTCTAGCTAATATTTCTACCATAGCATGGTCATCATAAGACCATTTTCTGATGCTCTTGTCTTCACTTGCACTAAAGAGACAGTCGCCTCCATCTATTAATACTGTCACCTATAAAATAACAAGCAAATAAATTGATAATAGAAAGTATCCTTTTTCAGAGATCCTGTTTGGATGAGGGTGTATCATATTGATCTCTGGTTTTAAGAGCTCATGTGCAAAAGCATGGGAAATCAATTGCTTCCAATGAAACCTGCATTCCAAACAAACCACAAATGACCTGTGTGGTATACAAATTACTGAGTAATGGGGAATCTTGCCCCAAAGGATAAGCAACCTAAACACAACTACTGACATTTACACTACTTGCTGCTTCTGATAATGATAATGATGTAGATGATGATGTGAATGTGATAATAATGATGATGTTGGTGGAGATGGTGATGAAATCGATAATCATGATAGTGATGTATGTTTATCACTTTTACAAACCTTTCCTTTGTGTCCCTTAAGTGTCCTTACACATCCTTTACTTAAGTGTTCTATGTTCCATACTTTGATAACATTGTCTGCCCCACTACTGTACAAGGTCCTGCCTTTCACAGTTAGGCAATGAACACCACCAGTGTGTCCCCTATAGAAAATTAAATATAATAACAATATTAAATATTATGACAACTACTGTATAATTATCTTTAAATATACTAAACAAAAAATAATTAAAATGAAATATTTTGACAGCTTACTTTGCACATTCAAAGTTATTAGATTTTAAATTTACTGCTGTACTGTATTAAATTTAAGAATTTTAAAGGTAAAATTTGGTAAATCAGTAAAAACTTTTTTTTTATCTGTATTTCAGATAGATGAAGTTAACACCTGCTTGCAGTGGTTGCACCATAGGTGCCAGGAGAAAAATGTCACCCATCAGACTACCATGAACTGCATGTTCTTATGAAGATGCTATAAGTATCAATAACTAACAATAATTACATGGATGCTTTGTAAAGTCTTCAGTAAAGAGTTTAACCTCATGACTGAAGGTCATGGGGAAATCAATAAATCTAACCAAAATCCAATTGTGTTCCTGATATTTCTCTAGTCATTTGATTATATAACACATCTAATTGTTCATGCTGCTTATGATGATACCCAACACCAGCAGACATTCAGGAGACATAGAAGATCATTTGATCACGCCTTATATCCTTCTAAAAATTGAGACATTTCTCCAATGACTTGTGTAGGAAAAGAGTTGTAAAAATGCTCCCAGAAATTAACTTTATAAGTTTAAGACATTTAGCATAAAATTTATCTTGCAATGTTGACTGGCTTTAAATGGCAAGTGTTTTAGGGCATATACACACAGTAGTTGAGTAAACCCTTACCTAGAAGTGGAATTTGGGCCATGTTTGGGGTGAATTCAATTATGATAACAATAAAAAAAATATATAGTTTTCTACTTTATAAAATATAAACAGAATCATTCTGTCAATCTGTTTCTTTTTTCCTGAGCACTCCCTCAAATTGGCACAGTGAGACTTTGTATAATGCGCCTTAAGTCAAAGATTGGACTGGTTATTAGATAATGTAGAATGTGAGCCACTTACCTCAATGTTCCTATACATTTGAATTCAAAGGGCAGGAACCACTGTTCTCTGGCAACTGATGATGGGTGTTCTGGACTCGCAGAAGAACGCCTCTTATGAGAAGAGCCAATACCTACAACAATAAAACTGGATCAGTAAAATATGAAGAAACGTGGTAGTAAACAAGAAAAAAAAACTATATACTGTAATGGATTAATTTATCAAAAATACTGTAATGGAATTTTTTTACTCCATTTTTATCCAAAAGCAAATAACAGGATGGACGGTGCTTTATATATATCAAGTCTCCTAAAGAGAGGCTTATAGGGAGTTGTTTTTAGTTGTAAGAAAAAATCATGCTGTCACAGGAACTGAACACAGGACCCTGGGATTACAAGGCAAGCAACATGGGCACCTCCAATAAAACAGAATCACTAAATAAAGAAATACTTGACTTTTGTGTGTAAACCACAAGAGTTGTATTCAAACCAACCGTAATTGTGAATTATCTGCCAAGTTGTTTTTAAAGATTATTTAAGCTTACTTGATATAGAGGAAGTGGAGTTGTTTCTCGCTCTACGCACAAGGTCTACTTTCTGCATTTTCTGTTGCTGTTCTTCTAAGCTCTGGATGGACCTGTAACAAACATTAAATAGCAAAACAAATATTACGATATTATTTTACTTTCTTTTATCTTTTACTTCAAAATTTATTATCCATAAACATACAGAATTTAAACTAACCTATGAAATTTATTTAATCACTTTAAATTCATTTTTTTTCAAAGACTGTGGTATAATTAACTATTACTCTCAACACCTAAACCAAATGCAATGTTAAAACAAATATTAATTAAAATCTAAAAGAGTACTGTACCTTAGAACAATGATACACAGTTTTATGAACCATGTGGATTTGATTATGGCTCTTAAACAATATCTGACAAAATGTATTTACAACATGATTTTACATTAAAGTTGTACTAATATTCAATAGCATTGTTGTTTGGAAATCAAGTTTCACCCACTATTCATGGCAAGCTTGTAGAGCAAGTGGATGAGTACAAATAGGTACAAATATAGACAATAAACTTAATTGAAATAAACAAACTGAAGTTACTCATTGTAAAGCAAACCAACAACTGTACTTTTTAAGGAAGCTTAAGCAATTCAAAGTAGATAGAACTATTCTTTATTTATTTTATCAATCAGTATTTAAAGTCTTTTATTATTCAACTTTGTTTCTACGGTAATATGTCTAAATTGAATAGAAACAGGTTAACAAAAATAATTAGAGCAGCTCAATGAATTATAGGACGTGATATTGATCTGAAAACTAAAACCTGAGAATCATGTGCTCTCAATCATGTATTTTTAAATTGTTTTTATCTCATCTTTTACTTTCACATGTTTTTATTCATTTTTATCTGTTTATATGTCTTATATTGCCAAAGAGGAAACAAATTTACACTTTTTATATTGCACAATAAAATGATCTTATCTTATCTTATACAATTGCTTTTTTTTTTTAATGACAATGAATATTTAAATGTTTCACTGTCCTTTTGGACATAAGTCGCTTCTAGGCCATGTAGGCATGGCTGACTATTTTTGGTACAGTTTTATTAATGAATATATATATATATATTTTATAATAAAAAAAATTTATTAAATGTAATAGAAACTGTATAAAACAACTACTGCCTGTAAGTACAAGGTATTGCCTATGATTGTACTGTAAATTCAATAATCTTATACTAAAATGAAATGCTGATATAAAGATGCTGATTTAGTGAAATCAATTACAATTAAAAAGAAGATGGATAACAATAGCAAAAAATAAAATATAAACAGGAATATTTACATTAGAGGATAAAGGATAATTTCATCTTTAAGTTTTGTTGATTAGACCTATTTTTGACTATTGCATCGTAAATTTACAATTCTATTTCTGTATCACAGCCTTTTCGTATTAAATATAGTTCAACCTAAGTTTATGTATTTATGATATTGCTTTGGTTCCATACTTTTATCCTGCACTCAGTATAAGCAGCATTTTTTTGTATATGGTTTTTATTTTAAGTGTATTAATTCTCTTTTAAAACTAATTTAGGTTTATTATTTACTCTTAAAATTTACTGAGTAAATTCTCGCTATAAAGATCTATTTGTTGCTTCGTTTTCGTGCTTGTTGGAAATTACGACTAACGGAGGGTTTTGCCATAGCCGGTCACATATGATTGCTGTTGGATGTGGTGTTTGAAATAAACACTTGCATACATTTACTGATCTGCCTGGGCTAGGGCTGGAGTTTTTATTTTTTTTAAATTTTTTGTTGTGACCTATTTTTGTGTGTTTCTCTGGATATATATTTATATATATTTATGTGTATATTACAAATTTTAAGGCATTCTCTTATTGGTATATGATTGCTGTTGGATGTGGTGTTTGAAATAAACAAATAAAGAAAGAATATAATTTACAGTGTAAATATATTAGTGATCTCAAGAAATAAAGGGAAACCTAAATAAAGAATGTGATTGAAGTAGGTTTATTTTTGTTGTTTTGTTTTCAGAGCAAACTCTTATCCACATTGTGTTTGGATAGTGACAAAAGAAAAATAGAGATATTAGTATCAGTATCAGTAATGACAATGCAACCATTCATTATAAAACCCTTTTCATCTACAGAATTAAGTCATATTTTTACAAAATGTTTAAACCAAGTACTTACTGAGAACACTTTTGTAACAAAGCTGCCATTGCTTTCCTTTCGTCTTCTAACATCGATACACGTTCACTCAATTCATGAACTGTTTTCTTCAATCCCATATTTTCATCTTTCAATTCTTTTACCTGTTCAGTTAGTAAAATACAAGAAATAGTTTTTGACAGTTATGTTTAGGAAAATTTAGATTATAATAATTTATCATTGTACTAAATTCTTTATCAAATAAATCAATGTAGACAACAATAATAATGACAATGATTTATTTAAGGTTTTTACTGTTTCTAAAAGCTGTCAGTTGTCTTGACAACTGCGTAATGTTGAGTTAGAAAACCAATGAAATTATGAAAACAATAACAAATGGTGTTTTCATTACTTGGCCCTGGCAACAAAAACTTACTGTGTTCTTCCAATTACCACTCTCTTGTGCTTCCACAAAATCACAAACTGTTTCATGTTTCTCTAGATTGGCACTTGGTCCCAAAAAACTACAGCCTGGATATTATTATAAACAAGCAGAAACATATTAAATTATGCAATCACTATTAAAGTCATTATTCAGAGCATTGAGGTGGTACAGTGTTAATTATTAGAGATATTATAAAAAGATTACTTTTAGTTTAAACTCCAGTCATGTTAAAAATGTATAATTTTAGTAAATGTAGTTGCAATTTTCTGGAATTTTTTTCTTATTTTTTTTACTCTGATCATTGCTGTTAAATTGATTTGTATCCATGTTGTATTCTTTTAAAGAAAAAATATATTTGTTTGAATTGAAATGAATATATTCTGTTTTGAATAAATGTAGCAGTGCTTTATTGAGAGCACACAAAACCTAATGTGCTTCATGTGAATATTGAACTGATGTTTCATAGATTAAATGATTTCAATCTTCCAATACAGTACATGGCCTGGATAAAAAAAACATGGTACCATTTTCAGCAGCAGATTCTAGGAGTGGCAGCCGCCCTTGGCACTCCCTGCCCCACATTCCCTTCCTCCTAATTTTTTTCAAAAATTGTAAAAAAATGGAGAAAAAAAAATTATATTCAAATTTAAGTCTGAGAGAGCCATTTCCAGCCATCTAGAAAAAACAAAATGGTAATGGCTCTATATTTATCTACAGTAGGAGTGCCAAATAACATTCTTACCTCATCCCCAACTATGGTGGGAAGGGGTGATTTTTGTGACGAGAACAAAATGGGCGTTGTCAAATGTCGCTTAAAATGTTTTGAAAGTGGTCCAAGGAGCCAAGACTCCTGTAAACTTTGACAATTTAGTGGTTTCAAAGATTTTAAAAATCTACCAATATGTTGAAAATACATATAATTTTTTCCCCTTCCCCCTCGCCACTGGCACCACCCCTGATGGTGGGGCTGCCCTGGGGCCCTCTATTTCTCATTACGGGATCCACCACTGATTTAACACCCCAACCAAATTTGTAATAAGCAGATCAAGCATGGTTTAGCCTTAAATATTATTAAGCATTACAGCACTCAAAATGTGAAAAATATTAGGTGGAACTACAGAATGTTCATTTGCGAATAGAGTTGCATTTTGGTTTCAAATATGAAGGTTATCCCAAAACATTAAACAATATAAAATATAAATAACTAGAAAAACATAAAACAAGATACAGGTCTCCCTCCAATAAAGACCACCTTCAATTAATAGAAGTGGTTGGCGCATTGGATGTGGTTTGGACTCCCAACCTCGAAGTTGGGGGTTCAAAACTCTCGCTGTGAAAGTCGCTTGTGTCGTTGGGCAAGGCATTTTATCTACGGTTGTCTCCCTCCACCCAGGAGTACAAGTGGGTACCTGGTAGTTTCAAACACAGCCTGCGCTGAATACAGCTGCAACATTATGGAATTCCCCTATGGGGCTTGAGTGTGTGTTCCATATGTGCTGGATCCAGTGATCCGGGGGTTATAATGTTCAAGCGCTTTGAGGTTGTGTCAACGGGAGGCGCTATATAAATTATTATTAATAACTACTTTCCTGTGATTCCCACATTAACGAATGCCTTTTATCTTTATTATTCTAATTAGAGATCAAAGCTGCTAAAGACCATGGAAACCTTGATCCTAGTGTGTAACTGTCATATAAATATACAAGAAAATAGAACATTAGAATAATATGAAAGGAAAATTAAAGAAATAAATACCATTTGCTGCATATCTGCATGGCACATAAGGGCATATCCTCAAGTGTTCATCCAGTTCATTCCTCCTAAAGGTTCCACACACCGGTTCATTATTTGGACAGCCTAGCTTTACATATTCGCACTGCAGCTCGTGTTCGTCAATGTTGGCTATTGTCAGTTGTACTGGGCACCCTCCCTCTTCTGGTACATAGTCATGTGATGTGAGGCGTTTAATACCACGAGGGCAGTATACTACAAGATCATCTATTTGAGAAGCAATGGCCCTATGCATCACAAAAGAAAAATTACCATTTACCCAATTTATAAATCTGTTTTCATTTGCTTCTCCAACCAACTGGAATAACATCCCATTACACATCAAACATGCAACTTCCATCATTACATTTAAATCTCTTCTCAAAAGCCATTTATTTAATTGACTTATGTTTTGGTTTATAGAATGGCCCCGAAACTGCTAAATACCGGGATGGTGTCCGGCGGGGGATAGTTTAACTAATTGTAGTTAAGAGTAATATACTGTATTTAAAAGTAGTTAAGCCTAGCTTAAGGTAGTTAGGGACGTCCTGGGTACGACATTAAACTCCATCCGGTCGAAGTGTCGACGACTAAACTGACAACCCTCTCAAATATGTCTTAGTGGCTGCTGAGGGGAGGGTGTTTATGGTCACCCAGCAGCAAGAAAAACCAATAGCTGAACAAAGGGCGGATGAGCTCCTTGGAGTCAACGGCCAACCATTAATTAGTTTAAGGAATAGGAGTAGTTTAGTCTCATTGTTATTGTTATTGTTATTATGATTATTTTAATTTTATTTTATTGTTATTATTTTATTGTTATTTGCTTTTTCTCAGTTGGCCTATATTATTTCTCTGTAAAGCGCATAGGGGCAATGTGCAATATGCGCTATAAAAATATAATATTATTATTTATTATTATTTGCAGAAAAGGTCATGTGGCTGGTATTACAGTAAATCTAATACCTTAATCCACAATCATATTAATTAGTGACAAAGAATTACCTTCTTCCCATGACAAATAAATGTTGATATACAGTTCAATATATTACTATTATCAATTGTAGCAAAAACATTTCATTGGTCAATTCCACTAATATTTAATTTTTTCTTGTGTGTTTCATGTACAAATTAATTTTGTATTATTGTACTGTACTCAGAGGGCCTCTTCTAGTCAGCTTTGCGCTGTAAGAGTTACCCTCTTAAAATATAGATAATAAATAAATAAATAAACGCAGGATATTTTTGACGTGTGCATATTTATAAAGACGTGGGAAAAGAGTGCTAACCAAAATTGACTATCGCATGACTGGTAC